ACGTAGAGGGGCGGGGCCGCCGCGCTCTATAAAGCGGGGGAGCCGGGGCGGGTGCTTTGCACAGTGCGGCGCGGCGGGGCGCGGGCCGGGCTTGGTGGGTGCGCGGGGCCATGGAGCTGTTGAGGACTATCGCGTACCAGCCGGGCGGCGGCAGCAGCAGCAGCAGCGCCAGCACCAAGATGTGCGAGCAGGCGCTGAGCAGAGCCTGCAGCGGGGAGTCCCGCAGGAAGAAGCCAGAGGAGCAGCAGCAGCATCACCACTCGCACGCCGCTGCCGAGGTCTCGCGGATTATTACTGACCCCACGACTGGCAAGCGCTACTGCCGCGGCAAGGTGCTCGGGAAGGTAAATGGCTGGAGCCGCCTGCACGCGGAGCTGCCCCCGGGCTCGGATCCGCGGGGCCGGCGGGAAGGGGCTTCCTGCCTCTTTCCCCCGCACCACGCACCTCCCTTTCTCTTCGCTCCTGCCAGTGGGCAAGAGCCAGTGCCAGGGCTGTGGCTGGCAGACCTGGCGAGGGGCTGCCTCCTTTCTCCAACGTGCCAAGGGGCGTCCGTGCTCTGCCACTACCTGGGATCGCTTTGCTTCGAGCCAGGGATGTGTGTGGCTCTCTGCACCATGCCTGGCCCTAGCCTGCCCTCTTCCCTCCTCCTCTGCAGGCAGTTAAAGATCCCAGGTCAGAGTGGTGGGATTTAGGAGTGTTACACCCCCCCCCCCCATCTGATACCAGAGGAAGTTACACCTGCCTTTAAATCCTCCTGACTAACAGATGATTTGCCTAGTGACTAAACATGGGACTTCTTTCATGCCTGACATAATTGCCTTTTTTTTTCTTTGCATGTCTCTGCAGGGTGGATTTGCCAAGTGTTATGAGATGACTGATCTGACAACAAACAAAGTCTATGCTGCAAAAATCATTCCCCACAGTCGTGTAGCTAAACCTCATCAAAGGGAAAAGGTGCGTGTGTGCATGAGTGACTGTTGCTTAAAAAAATCTCTTTGTGCGCTGGATTGCCCATCCCTGTTCCTGAAACGTTTTATGTGCGCTGGCGCTGTCTCCTCAGAGAGCAGCAAAGGTAATAACCTTTGTTCTTTATCCCTTCAGATTGACAAAGAGATTGAGCTGCACAGAATGCTTAATCATAGACATGTTGTACAGTTTTACCACTACTTCGAAGACAAAGAAAATATATACATTCTTCTGGAGTACTGCAGCAGAAGGGTGAGCATCAGCTGGGAGAAATCCATTATTCACTTACCTGGAATCTGCAGCTAATGTAAATGTGTAATATAAGAAAGGTATATTTCATACCTTCTTTATTAGGTCGTCATTTTTCTGTATATTGGCCTTGCTTTCTTTCAAGGTAAAACTTACTCAAGGCCTCTTAACTAACCTTTGTGCCTTTTTTCTAGTCAATGGCTCATATCCTGAAAGCAAGGAAGGTATTGACGGAACCAGAAGTACGATACTACCTCAGGCAGATAGTGTCAGGGCTAAAGTATCTTCATGAACAGGAAATCCTGCACAGAGACCTTAAACTAGGTAAGTCACTCCTTGCGCTGACTTTAAAAAATGGACTACTTCCACACAAATTTGTATTATACCATTAGACATGTCCACACTGATGGTTTAATTGATAGAGTCGGGTCAGATCTCTTGCAATGGAAACTTGGAACACTTAAGTTATGACAATAAGTATTCATTTAAAAAAAAAAAAAAAAAAAAGCTTGGCTACCTGCTGGCTTTGTTTGAAAGTATGACTCGGCACTTGCGGCTAATGCGTTCCTATGTTGCAACAAAGATTCTCACCAGCTCTTCTTTTAATTGTATTGTAGGTAACTTCTTCATTAATGAAACTAT